ATTGTGTTTCCGTCGTCGCCCGTCGTCGTCATTGCCACGGCGTTGCAACTTTCCCCCACCCCCGCGTCGAAATTTGACCCAAGCTTGTCAACCTCGGGGATAGTTGGGGTTGGGCTGGGACGAGGATACATCCGTTCCAGAGCGTTTGGGGTCGCCGTCAGAGCGTTCTAGAACGCTCTGAGAAGGCTGCGGCGCCCGAGACATCCTCCAGAGCCGCCGGATCTCAGAGATTCTCGATTCTGGTTTGTGAGGCGGGGCCGGGACAGGGCTAGATCGTGCAAGAACGCTCGGAGAAGGGCGCGGCTCCCGAGACATCCTTCAGAACCGCGGGATCTCAGAGATCCCCGATTTATCATTGTCCGGTTGTGTCTTTGTCTTCTGATATTCCGACATACTTTAGCCTTGACTACCAGAGAGAATTTCGAGCACCAAGAAAGCGCCGAAACCAAAGGGTTCTCACGCGTCGGGCCCTGGGAGGCAAAACTCGCTCGGCGCTGCTTCGATACTCTCCCTGGGTGCTCGACACCACTTCTGGGATGCGGTCCTTAAAAGTGCGATGGGAACAACGTAATCCTTGCCCTGGCTTCGTCTTGCGGTGGTGCCCGCCCGCTCCCTGAGCGCTCAGGACGCTCTGTCGGCCGACGAGGCCGCTGCGGCCGGCGCGGCGGGCGGCACGCGGGGGGCGACGGCGACCGCGGCCACGGCGGCGGCGGCGGCGGTCGCCAGGCCGCGACGGCGACGGCCGCGGAGACGACGGCGTGGGCGACGGCGGCGGCGGCGGCGACGTCGGCGGCGGCGGCGGCCAGCAGGCGCCGCGGCGCGGCGCGGCGCGGCGTCATGCGACAAGACCCCAAAACCAGCAGGCACGGACGCACCCACGAGTGCGAGCGCGCACCGCGGCGCCTGCCCCGCCTCGGGGGGCGCCGCGGGCAGAGAGAGCGCCCGGGGGGGGGGGGCTGGCTCCTCGGGCCCGGAGGCCGGGCGGGCCTCCTGGTCCGCTTCAGTCTGCCGCCCGCCTCCGGGTCGAGGAGGGGCAGAGGCAGGAGCTGCACGGTCGCCCGCCAGGTGTGCGCCGCGCTGGCGCGGCGGCGGCCCCCCGGCGCGGGCGTCCAGGGTCAAAAGCACCGCCAGCGGCCCAGCAGCGGCCGACGTCGAGCGCGCGCTGCGCTGCCGGAGGGCCGCGGTCGTTCCAGGGGCGAACGCCCGCGTGACACCGCGAGGCGCACCCGGCCGTGGACGCTCGGAGGTCCGTTGCGACGTTCTCGGATCTGCGCTCGGCCCCCCCCCCCCCCCCCACCCCTGGCGCGCGGGAGGCGCGCCACGAGCAAGGCTATGTCGGGCCTGTCCCCCTACAGGGGGATTTTCGACGAAAAATGAAAAATACAACAAAAAATGTACCAAAAAGGTAGATAAATAAATAGTAGCCAGACTATTTTTGTTTTTTTGTTATTTTGGGGTATTTTTTATTTGTCATCGAAAATCTCCCTGTAGGGGACAGGCCCGACTTAAAGCAAGGCCAGATGCGCCGCCGGGAGTGCGATGACGTAGACTTTGATCGGAATCCGGTGTCGGTGGTGCTGGGATCCACTTGGGATGCGACGGGAGCCCCAGCAGCGGGGTGAACAGAGGGAAACCGACCCCAGCATTCACGACAATGGATTTTATATGTCAGCGGTTTGCAAGTATGGCGAATGTGCGTACGTGTAGGCGCCCTGTAAGCGAAGCCACTGCCAGCTGCCGCACGGTGGGGAGGGCCCGCGCGCGCGGTCTAATTGGTCCAAAGTTCCTCATGTTGGGGGGGGGCGGGGAGCGGTTTTCATGCGTTCACGGAATCCGACTGGAGCCCGGCCAGAACCGGATTGGGTTCTTGGAGGGACCTGTCGAGGTTTTATGGGGATCTCTGCTTGGGATCCCACCGGGACCCGTGGGAGTCCTGCTGGAATGCGATCGGGACACTCTTGGAATTTGAGTAGGATCTGATTGAAGCCCCATTGGAATCCGACTTGAATTTGGCTGGAACCCTACTGGGATCCTAGTGGAGTGCTGCTGGGATCCCAAGGGGATCCAACTTAAATGCAATTGCAATCATATTGGAATATTGTTGGAATGCGATTGGGATCCTTCGGGGTCCATACTGGGATCCTGCTGGACTCTACTTGGAATGTTGAGGCATCCTATTTGAATCCGACTCGGATGTCGTCGAAATCCGATTTGGATCTTATCTAGTGAATGGCCTTCGGCCCATCCCGCCACCATGCTTTGGTTGTGGTTCCAAAGCCAATTGGATGTTTCCTGTGATTTCGTGGGGGTCTATCCGGGGCCACTTAGAGGCAGTTTTGAGGTCTCTTGGGGGCCGTTTTGGTGCCTCTTGGAGCCTCTGTTGGGCCTTTTGGATGCCTATTGGGGCCTCTTGGGGGCCTCTTGGGACCTCTTGGGCGCCTCTTGAGGCCTCCTGGGGGCCTCTTTGGGCGGAAGGCTCGGATTTTCGGTTCGTGTTCCCTCTCTTGGGCCCCTTTTGGGGCCGTCTTGAGGCCCTATTGGGCCGTCTTGGGCGCCTCTTGGGGCCTCCTGGGGGCCTCTTGGGGTGGGAAGCTCGGACTTTCGGTTCGTGTTCCCTCTCTTGGGCTCCTTTGGGGGCCGTCTTGGGGCCCTCTTGGGCCGTCTTGGGCGCCTCTTGGGTGCCTCTTGGGCCGCTTCAGGGCGCTCGCCGTCTTGGGGCCCTCTTCGAGGCCTCTTGGGTCGTCTTGGGGTGGTCTTGGGGGCCTCTTGGGCCATCTTGAAGTGTTTCGGAAACACACAAAAGGCGAGAACGCCCAGATCCTTCCAAAACCTGATGGACATCAATGATACGTGCATGGACATTAATGGTTTGTGCCTCTTGGGGTCCTCTTGGGAGGCCTCTTGGGCCGCCTTCTGGCCGTCTTGGGCATCTTGCGCCGATCTTTCAGTGTCTCGGGGCACTCTTGGACCGTCTTCGGGGTGGCCGACGCGTCCCAGAGCTAAGAAACTCTATAGCGTAGCAGTTCTGAGAGCCGGGAAGACGGACGGACGGATGGACGGACAGCCAGATTGTGTGCAGTATTTGACGAGCCAGTTGGATGGCCACTGCATCAGGGAAACAAGTCCCGAGCAGAGCATCACGCACCACGACCACGACGCCGCCGCCGCCGCCGACGACGACAGAGATGAGGCGCACGAACGATCCTCACAGAAGCACGGGTTTGGGGAAGGGGGCCCACTGTGCGAGGTTCGGTACGCAGCACGCTTCCGAGCGATGTTGCGGCCTCCCCCCGAGCACAGCCCCTCCCCCCCCCTCGGAGCAGCAGCCGGGCACTCCGGGTTGGCACCCTCGTGCGTTGCCGAGCCCGTGGGCGCTCTTCGGCGCCCTCTCCTCCGCTTGTGCTCGCAGCCGCTGGTGCGGGTCCGCCCTGACGCTCGGGTTCCCCGTCGTCGTGTTGGGCTTCGGGCGTGCTCGCATCCATGGGGCTTCCGCCCGCCGCTTGCCTCCTGAGGGGCGGCGGATCCATATCTTTTTTCAGTCGGGTGCCAGCGACTCACGTGCCCCATTGCCGGCTCGCTCGAGGAATGCAAAGATGACGCAGAGCAGGGGGAGGGGAAAAGAGGATCATGACCGCAGGAGGCTCAAGTTGCATCAACGTTCAACGCTGCTGCATTACACCCACCAGTCCCAGGGCCCCTCCTCATCTCAAGCAGTGGCGAAGCGCCCCGGCTCGCCTATAGCCCCACCAAACAATGTTCTAAGAATTGTTGTGGCTCCCACGAAATGTTCTTAGAACATTTCTGGCTGTTTGTTTTAACATATCGGGTGTATGTTCTACGCACGTTGTTTTTTGTTATGAGAACATCGTTGGGTTCTAAGAACATGTCGTGGTATGACTATAAGAATGTCCAGACGGTCGGCCCTTGCTCACTCATCAGCCCCTACAAGCAGTTTTTCGCATTGCTGCAGGCGCCCCCTTGAGAGGCGAGCGCCCCGAGGGCGCGCGCCTCTCGGGCGACAGCTCTGCTCCGAAGCGGATATGCCGCCCATCCTCTTCTCGCTGTGAGAGGCGCGAGGAAGGTGGCAGCGTGGAGCTCACATTGGTCTTCGGTCATGCCGAAGATCGAACCCGCAGGATCAAAATGTACCCTGGCAGGGAGTCACGACGAGGAAGTTCCAATGCAGTCTGGCAGCCTCTCGACCCCAAGGGATGGAAGAGGATGGCGAGGAGGAAGGGGAGGAGGAGGAGGAGGAGGAGGAGGAGGAGGAGGAGGAGGAGGAGGAGGAGGAAGAGGAGGAAGAGGAGGAGGAGGAGGAGCAGGAGGAATGGCAGGAGGGTGCCAAACGAGAGAGTTTGACTCGCATCTTTTACCGGGTGCGTGGATCCCTCAGGCTCGTGGAGCGGATGCATATAATATCTGGCGCGAGCTTCAATTTCTTGTCATGGGAAAAATACCCAGCGACAGCCCTGCTTTGAACCGGAATGTCAAACCCGAGTGTCACACATTGTGAGTGATTTCGGCGGTGCGAGGAGGAGAGAGAGCTACCCATATGAAATAAGGGAGGATGGAGGAGGACAACGGACAGGAGGACGCGGAGGAGACACGCGAGTAGCAGGAGGATAGGGACGAGGAGGAGGAGGAGGAGGAGGAAAAGGAGGAGGAGGAGGTCGAGGGCGAGCTCTGGGACGGCAAACGGTGGGAGGAATAGGAGGGAGGAGGAGGGAGGAGGGCGGAGTGAGGGGGGGAGAGAAGGTGGAAGGAGGAGCCGAGGAGGAGTATGGAGGAGGAGGAAGGGGGAGGAGGAGGAGGAGGAGGAAGGAGCAGGGAGGATGGAGGAAAGAGCACGGGGCAGGAAAGACGAGAAGGGCGGAAGGAGGGAGGCCAGAAGGACGGAGGAGAGAGAAGTGGAGAAGGAAGGAGCGAAGGAAGGCAGGAACGCAGGAAGGAGGAGGAGGAGGAGGAGGCCCCCCCGTCCCCGCCGCCGTCGATCTCTCCAGGCGGACGTGCAGCTGTTCGGGCAGGGCGCGACCTCCGACTCGGACCTTGCCCGGGCCCCCCCGCCCAGTGCAGCCACAGTGCGGGCGGGGGCTGTTCGGGGGCGCTCTCCCCTCCCTTGCCCCCCATCTCTGAGGCTCTCAGATGCACGACTCACACAGACGGATCTTGTGCAAAGAAGGGCCCCCAGGACGTTCACGCAGACGTTGCGGACGATTTCGCGGAGCTTGGGAGCTCAGGTGCTGGTGGAAGCCTCGACCAGTGAAATCGAGGAGGCCAGCGATGCCCGAGCTCTTCTAGCCGAGTGGCTTAGGTATGCTGCTACAGCTTTCAGGTTTTGGGAGCCTGTGGGACCGAAAGCCAGCAAACAGGCGTTCGCTTCTCGGGACAAAACCGTGGCCCAGCCCATTGCGGCAGGCGCTACCAGTGCCCGTGTGGTTTGGACAGGCGAGGCTCCTTCCTCCTCAGCCAGATCCCAAGGTCCCGAGGCCCTTGAGAATCCCCCACTTGTGGGAGTGAATGACAGATCACAGAAGTGGTTCTGCACTGCCTGTAAGACAAGATGCCCTGATCGAGTATACTCGTCTCGCAAAGGTGAGGGCTGCCGGAGCTATCACTTACAGACGACCCAGATAGTTGCCAACCCTAAGGGCCACATATAATACGCTGCTCGACAGCGACAGAGTTTGAACTTGTGCTGATGTGTTCTTACTGCGGCAGATACGGCGAATCGAATGTGAGGAAGATCCAGGAGAGCTTCCACGGTGTCAGGCCCCCCTCTCGCCCACTGTGATCATTCCAACTAACGGCGTCGTCGCGTCTGGGAAGCCCCCTGGGGCCGTTTTTTCTAACATGTTGGACTCTATGGCGCCGTCTAGGCCCCCCGTAGCCATTTTGGCTCAAGTTCAATATTTGGTAAAGATCGAGCTGTTACCGTACACAATTCACGTCATGGAGCGGACCCGCCTTGAGTCACCCGCTGCAGCGTGTGCTGGCCTTGCGTGTCAAATGTGTGAAAGGCTTTGGGAATTCGCATCCATCGAGACCGCACAAAAAAGGCAACGCCTCCAGCAAAACGCGGCACGGAAAGCGTTCAGCAACACCAGCAGTGTGATAGCATTCTGCAATATGCCATGTGATGAGCCTTGCGGTGAATTGCGGCACTCAGTTGCTATGTACATTTTTCCTGCTTGCGTCTTGCAGCCGATTTTATTCCAGATTGAACGCGAAGTCGTCAGTCTCGCATTCTAGGACATTCGGTTGTACAGAAGGGCAAACGTGATGATGTTGTTCAAGATGCGTGGTCACCAACGGGAGCGTGGGAACCAATCTTTGCAACGCCCAGCGTTGATATTGTTGCACCTGGAAACTCATTGCCGACCAAAGTCTTTTCCAGGGCAAGCATGTTCGTGCATTGCAACTTGGTGGCTGAGTTAGGCTGTTCGTAAGGAAGCACGGGAAACTAGACACATAGTTTGGGCCCGAAAAGAAGTGCGAGTTTGCCGCCTCACGCTGTCCGTTTGGATCGGAAGTGCCCGCAAGGACAGACGAGAGCGCACAAACTCACCCAATGCCGTTTGAACACGGCCCACTTGCGACTTGCATGGTCGCTAGGTGTCAGATGAGAAAGATGTTTCTCGCATGCGTTGTGGGCGCGACACCGTTCGTTGCGAAGATTTGCACGCGTGCCTTTCGCGCATCAATGAGCTTCCCAACCGCCCGCGCGACAGCAAGAACGGTCATCGGGAGCATCGCGCGCAAGCAGGAAGTTACCTGAACGCGCACTGGCTGCAGCGGATCATTTGCGCCGCCTGCCCTCAGGGGGCCGCTACTCCGGGAGCTGATAGAAGAACGCTAGACCAATTTATGATTTTGCCTCGTCGGGCCCTTGGGGGCCCTCTCGGAGCGTTCTTGCGGCTTCTGTGGTGGCGCCCTCCGGCCTTTCTGGGGAAATCGTGCGAGGCAGCCCGAGAAAACGCGGGAACGCAAACGGCATTGGAGAATTTGGGGGCCCAGCCCCTGGAACGCTAGAGTTCCTGAGTCCTGAGCACAGAGGGCAGAGGACACGTGAGAGCCTGCAGAGAACCCACTCCACTTCGCACTTCGCGGCGCGGAGGCGGATTTTCACGCGTCAGGAATTTGCGTGGCGCCGAAGAGTCTCGTCTGCAGACGCCCAAGAACGGGCGTCAAGGGGCGCAACCACTCTGCGCAATTGAACGGCGCGCACGGGCCGCCCCCATTGATGCCCTCCCTTGACGCCCCCCCTTGATATTCTTTTCTAAATAAAGAATTAGGACCCCCCCCCCGGCTTTATCGATCCACCTGTTCGCGTTGCCATTTACAAGTGATTCTGCCCCACCGTCCATCCTAAATATGAGTTCATACAGTCCCAGCCCAGGCAGTCGCGCGCACTCGTTTATCAAAAACTAAAAGTTCCACGAATCCTTTTGGGAAGAAATGAGACGAAATGGACACGCGCGCGTCTTCGCGCGAGCATGCCGACGTCCTTCTAAAACCCGCGGTTGCGGAAGGTTTTCGAGTGCCCAAAACACATGAACCACATGGTTTCGCCACACGGATGTTCAAAAAAAACGTGCGCGCGCGTTCTCGCGAGTTCTTGAGCGAACCACCGGCTTTCAACATGTTCAGAAGATACTATCAAGCGGGCTTCGCGCGCGCGAATGTCGAAATCGTCCGAACGCCTTTGCGCGCGTGCCGTCGCGAGAATCTGTTTCAACAAATGAGACGAAATGCACGCGCGCGCGTCGTCGCACGCGCATGCCGAAACCCTTCAACAAAAAAACCTTTGCTTCGTAGCGAATCCAAAACCGAATGTCAAACAAATATTCAAAAACACAAGGTTTCGCAACATCAGTTTGTGCGCGCTCTCGCGAATTTTTAAGAAACCCCCAGGTTTGTGAACATCTGCATGAGATTCTGCCAAACGGGCCTCTGGCGCCGCATGCCGACATCATTCGCGCGCCCTTGCGTGCGTGCTGGGGGGCACGACCCGTGTCAAATAAAACCATGCGGGCCACTCGCGTGTCGGCCGCGCGCGCACTTCGATTTTTCCGAACTTTCATTACCGACGCGAGGACGCCGTCATCGTCGTCGGCGTGATCAGCATCGGCGCCCGCATTGGCCGCGCCGTCGTCGGTGCGAACATCGTCGCCAGCATCTACACTACCATCATCGTGTCTACCGTAGTTGGCGTTGCCATGATACCGCGCCCCAAGTCGCCGACTTGCAGTGAAGTGCCCGCTGGGATGCGCCCAGCGGTCAGCGCCACCGCGGCCGCGTCGGTGGCGCCAAACTAGCTGGCCGTTGCGCGCGCGTACTAGGGTCGGCGCGGCCGCAGAGATGCACCAACCAACGCCAAGCATGCATCGCAATCGCCACCGCATGGGTTTCCCACACCAAGTTGCGGGTGGGTGGGTGGGATGTTTGCAAGAGCATAGGATGTGTCAACTCATGGGGGAAAATCAACCCACCCCTTAGGCGCAACCGCCTTATGCACCCCCTTGACGTCCCCTTTTTGGTGTTCCTGCAAAGGGGGGCGCTCTCTGATTTCCAGCCCCACTCAGTCAAGAATCCAGGGCAGGCGCACCTGCTTGGTGTCAGAGCAGCCGCGCTGCTCGCAGCGGCCCCGCTCGAAGGCTGGAACCTCTTCCTAACAGAAGCAACGTGAGCAGCAGCAGCAGCAGCAGCAGCAGCCGCCGGCGGTCGTCCGTCCCGCTGCCGCGCGCGCGTCCGCCCGTTTTCTCTCGCGCCCTCCCCCCTCGCTTTCGCGCGTGCCCGGGTGCCGGGATAGTGCGTTTCCTTCTCTTCGGGAGCGGCAAGGTCGGGGGTGATGCCTATCGGGGAGGGGCATCATGGCGGGGGCCATGATGTCTCCCCAGATGTCATGGCGCCTTTTCTTATTTCAACTCGTTCCCGCCCCCCCCCTTTTTCTTGCACTTGCCGCCGGCCATGATTTGCGCCCGCCCCCTCTTGGACGCCCCCCCATCGATGTTTGGGGCCTGCGGCCCATCGCGCTGCCGTGCCTCGGGGCTCTCCCCGGATGTCTGTGGGAGGTGCCTTGTCGGCGCCGCTGGGGGGGCTGCAGTGCGGCTGCTGGGGAACGGAAGGACGGCCCCGGGCAGGGTCGAGATTGTCGGGCCAGCTGAGTGGAAAGAGCAGTCCGTTGGAGGTTTCGGACGTTGGAGCCAACGCAACGTCGATGTCGAAAAAGGGTCGGGGTCCTTGCTCCCTTCCATGTAAGAGGCCTACGCCAGCCGGCCGACCCCCAGACGAAGCGAGGAGCCCATGGAAAGTCCTAAGGCGAGCAATGGTCCTCAATGCTGTACCCACGGATGCATCCATATTGGGCTGAAATATGTTTGGAAAAGGGAACAGCCATTCATCTCGCGCGATTCTGCAGTCCCAGGAAAAGGACGTCAGCGGATTCAGACGATGAAAGATGTCCGATCTTCCACGAATTGCCCTCCCCCGCAGAAGGGGCGGGCTGGAGGGTGAGAAAGAGGAGAAGGAGGCGGAGGGGGAGCAGAGAGATAGAGAGATAGGGAGCCAGAAGAGACAGGGGGAACAGAAAGAGAGAAAGAGAGAGAAAAAACAACAAAAACAAAAAAAAAAAAAAAAAAAAAAAAATCAAGAAAGAAAGAGACAACCTGAACGCATATGAGGGTTCCTTGGAATGCTCCTCAGGAGCCTCTAGGAAAGCCCCTGGGGGTATCTGGGAAGCTGTTCGGGGCCCCTCGGGGGTTCTCGGGGGCCTCTTGTGGGGTTACTCGAAATGCCTCAATAATCTTCCCCCGGGTCTGGTTTTTAAGGAGCTTTTTTTGGAAGTGGGGGTGTCCAGTTTATTGGATGTTTCTTTAAACCGGAGACGAAGGGGGGTCCGTTTTATCAAGGCGTTGTTGCGTATTCGTTGTTGTCTTAAAGTTGTTGTTGAAGTTCGCATGTCGCTCCGCTTTCGTAGACGATTTTGCGAATCCTTATCGCCATCGTCATTGTCATCGCTCTCGTACTCAGCATCATCATCATCATCATCATCATCACCACCATCACCATCATCACCACCATCACCATCACCAACATCACCACCACCGCTCCATCACCAGCATTACCAACAACAATACCAACATCAGGATCACCGTCTTCATATTGATCGCATTGACACTTAGTTAATAGCACCGCCGCCATAATCACCAGAAACGTCACACTCACCGCCGCCGCCAAGGTTGCAATTGAAGGGGGGGTCCGGTTTTTTTAGGAGGGGGGTCGATTATTAAGGGATTTCGAGTATTCAGTCTCTTGGGGGCTTCTTGGGAACCCCTTGGAGGCGTCTTGGGGCCTCTTGGGGGCGCCTCGGATGGCTCTGGGGCGTTCTTGGGGCAATCTTGGTGGGAAAGGCTCGAAATGTCAGTTCGTATGCCATCTCTTGGGCCCCTGATGGGGCCCTCGGCGGCATCTCTTGGGCCGCCTGAGGGGTGCATGGGGCCGTTGGGGGACCCTCTTGGGAACCTCGGAGACCGTCTTGGGACGATCTTGGGGACTCATTGGGCCGTCTTGGACGCTGTCAAGACGATGCTACAAAGACACGCTGCCTGGAGGGAAGGGGGCGATTTTTTGATGACCGAGGCCCTCTTGGGCCGTGTTGGGGGTCCCGTGGGCGGTCTCGAAGCCATCTCGGACCGTCGTGGGGCTACCGTCTTGTCGCTCTGTTTGGGCCGTCTTGGGGCTATGTGGATGGAATATGAAACATATTGGAACCCATGGAGTGTAGATTTGGAGGCTCCAGAGGCCCCAGGGGTACGTTGGCGAGCTCGTCCCCCACCCCAGCTCCCTTCCCCGGGGCCCGCTTCCATGGGCCTCCACAGTTACACGATATGAATGCTACTCTCCTCTGTACCCTGGCGACGTCCAGAAAATATTCGGCCCCCCTCCGCGTACTGTTTTCATGCAGGATTCCTGGGAAACGGATTTTCGCTTGGGTTTTTTTCGAAATGCTGCTCTCGCTGAAGCGCTGGCTTCATTTTCGGGCTACCGCTCGTTCCGGTCCTCCCGCTGCAGCGTTGGCCTCATTTCCGCGCTTCCGCTCATGGCGAACCGTGCTCCCGCTGCAGCGATGTCGTCATTATGTCCAGAGCCATACCATGGCATGGGTTTCGGTCCTTCCAAATGGGCCCCCACATCTAGAACATGATTCCCGAAAAGAACGTGAGAAGTGATTACACATTCGGTGTCGATTCGTTGATTTTTGGGTGGCAGAAGACCCCCCTCTTTGGGGCGTCGCCACGCCATGTTATGTCAGGCTACGCGTCCTCCGAATCGTGCTCCCGCTGCAGCGCTGGCCCCATTTCCGCGCTTCCGGTCGTTCTCAATCGTGTTCCCGCTGCAGCGTTGGCGTCTTTATTTCCAGCGTCATGCCACGGCATGGGTTTCGGTCCTGCCAAATAGGCTTCAAAATATGAAACACCCGAGACAACCATCGGAAGTGATTGCACATTCGGTATATATTCGTTGACTTTGGGGGCCGCAGACGCCACCCCCACACTTTCGGGCGTCGCCACGCCATGCTGTGTCAGGCGACGCGTTGATCTTCAACACCATGCTACGCCGTGTAATGCTACGCCCTGCTGTGCGAATAGAGGGGAGATCTACGCCATGGTAAGGGATGGGAGGGAGGGGCAGGACGTGAGTCAGAGATGACGCGAGCACACCTAGCTTGCCACAGCCCCTCCCCCCCCGGGCCCCCCCGTCCCCCCCCCGCCCCTCCTCTCGGACTTCAGACCCCCAGGGGAGAGGGAAAGGGAGAGGGGGACAGCGGCTCATCTCACGCGCCTTCTGCAACCTCGGCAAGCGGGAGTCGGCGGATCTCGTCGCGACGCCTGAGCTGCTCGGTGACCTCCTCGCTCAGGGGGCGTGCGGCATGCCTGCTGCCCGCAGGAGACAGACGGTGACTTGCACGACTACGTCGATGAGGAGATACGGTGGGGCCTCGGGTTGCGTAGCATGGCACATCTTGAAGAGGATGCATCCAGGCCTCCCCAGGGGGGGTGGTGGTCCGAGCAGGTGGGGTCGGAGGAGCGCGCCGCATCGCCGATGCAGCGGCAATGCGGCTCGATGTGGAGCCCGATGTTCTTTGCGCCGACGGCGCCGATGCATCGCTGACTTCGCCGATGTATCGGCTGTGCATGCATCAAAAGACCCCAACCGCTCGGACACCGATTGGGAAGCCTCTAGTGGACGGGTCGCACTCTAGAGCCGACGTCGCGATTGTTTCGTGCCGTTGGCCCCGAGCTGGCAGCCCCTTTCCACGGGGCCAGCTTCTCTCGGAGAGGCTGGGGCCCGTAGTTCTCCTTCAGTGTTCCTTTGCCTTGGCTTCGCTCGGACGTGCCGACTTGTTGCTTCGGCGAGGCCAGCGCCAGAACATCTGGACGATCGTGCAGCACCTTGGTCGGGGGTGGACAGAACCCCCTACAGTGGCGCGTCGATTAGTGAATTGTCCGTTTTCGGCTCTCGAGCGGGCGCCGTGGCCGTTCTTTTCCAGGCCTGCGCCCGCCAGGTCTGGGCCTCGTGTTCACCAGACCACGTTTTACTGAAGGGAGGTCTGTCCATCCCCCGACTCGGAGCACCCGGAGGAAATAAGCAACAACAAAAAAAAAACGCGCGCGCAGCCGCGCGGCGCACGGGGAGCGGGCGCCCGAGAGCGACGGCGAGCGGCTCCCCGTTTGCCACCGTTCGATGGGGGCCACGGCCGCTCCCTCGGAGGCGCCCGCCGGGTGCCCTCCCGAGGGAGGTTTTGTCAGGAAGGCTTTTCCGGGGAGGCTCTTCCAGGAAGGGTTTCCAGGAAGGTTTTCACGAAGGTTCTCCAGGAAGGCTCTTCCAGGAAGGCTCCTCCAGGAAGGTTGTTTTAGGAAGGCTCTTCCAGGAAGGTTTTCCAGGAAGGCTTTTACGAAGGTTCTTCCAGGAAGGTTCTCTGAGGAAGGGCTTCCTGAGAGAGGTTTTGTAGGGAGGCTTTTGGGAAGGCTCTTCCAGACAACCCTCCCGAGGAAGGTGTCAGGGAGGTTGTATAGGAACGTTATTGCAACACAAACCCTTATGAGGGAGGTTTTTAGGAAGGTGTTTAGGAAGGTTCTTCCAAACAGCCCTCCTGAGGAAGGTGTTAGAAAGGTTTTATAGGAGAGCTCTTGCAACAAACACCCTTCTGAGGAAAGTTCATAGGAAGGTATTTTGGAAGGTTTTTCCAAGCAACCCTCCTGAGGAAGGTGTTCGGAAGGTTCTATAGGAAAGCTCGTTCAACAAACAACTTTCTGAGGAAGGTTTTTAGGCAGGTTCTTCCAAACAGCCCTCCTGAGGAAGGTGTTAGGAAGGTTTTATAGGAGAGCTCTTGCAACACAAACCCTTCTGAGGAAGGTTTTTAGGAAGGTGTTTAGGACGGTTCTTCCAAACAACCCTCCTGGGGAAGGTGTTTGGAAGGTTCTATAGGAAAGCTCTTGCAACACAAACCCTTCTGAGGAAGATTTTTAGGAAGGCGTTTAGGAAGGTTCTTCCAAGCAGCCCTCCTGAGGAAGGTGTTAGGAAGGTTCTATAGGAGAGCTCTTCCAACGAAAGCCTTTTCTGAGGAACGTTTTTAGGAAGTTTGTTGGGAAGGCTCTTCCAAAGAACCCACCTGAGGAAGGTGTTAGGAAAGTTATATAAGAAAGCTCTTGCAACAAAAACCCTTCTGAGGAAGGTTTTTAGGAAGGTTTTTCCAAACAAACCCTCCCGAGGAAGGTGTTAGGAAGGTTTTTAGGAATGTTCTTCAAAGAAAACCTCCCGAGGGAAGTTTTGGGAAGGTTTTATAGGAAAGCTCTTCCAAACAACCCTCCTGAGGAAGGTTTCTGGGAAGCCTTTTTAGCCAGGCTCTTCCAACACACACCCTCCCGAGGAAGGTTTTGGGAAGGGTTTTTGGGAGCGCCCTCCTCCCGCCCAGCAGCCGCTGCCGCCGGTCCTGTCCTCCTGCCGCCGGCGGATGAAAATCGCGCCCTCCGGTGCCCTGGGGATCGCCGGAGCGCGCGCGCGGGTACTGCCTTTTTGCCGCGCTGCGGCTTGAGAATGGTCGGGGGCCAGCGGGAGCACCCGTGCACAGTGGAGACCCATGGGAAGGAATCGGGGGTGGACAGACCTCCTGCCCTGACACGTCGATTAGCGAATTGGCCGTTTTCGGTTCGCGAGAGGGCGTCGCGGCCGTCATTTTTGCGGGTCCAGGTCCATCGGTTTCGGTCCCAGGCCGTTGTCACTAAGGGGAGGTCTACTGAAGGGAGGTTTGTCCACCGCGGACGGAACTCCCTGCTCGCCTCCAGGGTGCCCTGGGTGTCTTGAGTTTCGGTGGTTCTGCTAGGGAGCTGCAAGGGCTCCTCCCAAACGTCAAAGTGCGCCGAGGTCAGAGGGCCCATGGGTAGGGCAAGAGGGGATGCTCGGAGACGACCAGACTGCCTGGCGATGGGCTTTCGGAGGTCCGCGCGGACCTTCGAAAGCCAACGTACATTAATATTGCCTGCTTTCTGAAGAGGTGGTGGGGAGGGAGAGAGGGGGTATGGAGCAGAGTCCTGTGCCAAGGAACACCATGCTCGCCCCCAGGGTGCCCTGGGTGTCTTGGGTTTCGACGGTTCTGCTATGGAAAGCGTGACGTTCCCGTACCTAAAATCAATGGACGTCCTTCGGAGGGAGGAGAAGCGATACCAACACCACCAGGGGGCCCACCGCCATCGAGGAGGTCCACGATGCCTCTCCGAGCTGGATGCTGGGGATGTCTCGAGCGAGAGGGGGGGACCACACCACCAGGGGGTTCCCCCTTGCCTCCTCGCATCTCCTCGCCCTGTTGGTGTTGGTGTTGCCTTTCCTTGGTCCCAGTCCTGGGATCTCAGGGTTGGGTGTCTCGGGGAAGGTTTCTCGTGGTCGGGCCCCGACTGCAACTCACTCGCGCTCCCTGTTGCCTGGATCGCTGGAGCGCGCGTGCGGGCTGCCTGCGCCGCGCTGCGGCACACGAGCGTTCGATAGGGGCCGGCGGGAGCACCCGTGTAAGACAGCAGGGGCAGGGGCACACCGTTGCTCCGACAGGTGCGTGCCGTTGACGCGCCCGCCCGAGGGACGCGCCCCCCCCCCTCCCCCCCCACCCACACACACATAACACACACACATACATACATACATACATACATACATGCATGCATGCATACATACATACATACATACATACATACATACATACATACATACATATATACATACATGCATGCATACATACATACATACATACATACATACATGTGTGCGTGCATTCATGCATACATACACACATGCATACATACATAACTACACACATACATACATACATACATACATACATACATACATGCATACATACATACATACATACATACATACATACATACATACATACATGCATGCATGCATACATACATACATACATACATACATACACACATACACACATACATACATACATACATACATGCATCCATACCTACATACATACAGACACATACATACACATACATACATATACATACATACACACAAACATACATACATACATGCATGCATGCATACATACATACATGTTGGCATACATAGACACATACATACATATATACATGCATACAGACAGACAGACAGACATTCAGGCATTCATACATACACACATACTTGCATACCTACATACATGCATGCATACATACATGCACACACACGAACATACATACACACAGGCATACTCAAACACATGCATACTTACAGGTATGCATACATACATTCATGCAGACATACATAAATGTATTCTACATACATGCACACATACCTACATACATGCATCGAGTAATCCATACATCCATACATGCATACATGCATATCTACATATACGCACACATGCATACATACATGCATACACACATACATACACGTGCACATACACATGCACACACACATACACACATACACATACCCATACCCATACATGCATACATGCAAACATACAACCATACATACATACATACATACATACATGCATACATGCATACATGCATACATGCATACATGCATACATACACGAACACGCACACTCCTGATCATCGGTGCAGATGGCACAGTGGTTAAGAGCCGATTGTACGTGAGAGTGACCTTTCGCCGCAGTGGCCTGTGGTGCGGGCCTATTCCTCCTCCTCCTCCTTCTCCTTCTCCTCCTTCTTCTCCTCCTTGGGGCCCTCTTGCGTGTAGCCGAAAGAACAAATCTAGCCTTTGAGGGATACCCTCGTGCTCTTCGTGCTTGGCCTTTCCACCTTGTTGTGCTCCTCGTTGCGGGTGTTCCACGTGTCATTGTGCCCTCGGCGAGGGGGCTCGTGTTCTTGATCCACGTTCGTGTTCTTGATCCACCGTGCATCGTTTGACCTGGAGACCGGTGTTTCCACTGTCTGAACATGCTCTGGCGGCGCTTGCGCAGAATCCTCGTCAGAGGGGGTCCTGAGGCATCGAAGTTGAATGCAAGCCAGTGAAGGGTGGATACTGTGCTTGCCCGCTCGAGTGTCGCACTCCTGGTGCAGAACCATGGCCGACAGGAGGGTACGGAGATCTCAGGAGGCCGTGGGAGCGCGGGTCCAGCGCCAATGCACAAGGGGTCGTGGCCCCTAAGAGCGAGGCGCCAGCGCAGTTTACGAGGGATCGCAGTGGCCCCAGGAGCGTGGCGCCAGCGTAATTTGAGAGGGATCGTGGCCTTGGGATCGCGGATCCAGTCCAGTTTGAAAGGGGTCGTGGCCTTGGGGGCACGGATACCGTGTAGTTTACAAGGATTTTGCGGACCAAGCGTAACGAACGACGCATCGTGGCGTTGATTGTGCGAATCCAGCGTAATTTATTCACTCTGGATCGTGGCGCTGGGATTGCGAACCCAGTGGAATGTACGGGAGCTCTGGCTCCAGGAGCGCGGATCCGCAGCCGCTCATGAGGGATCGAGGGGGGCGAGAATCTTGTGGGACCTTCCGGGGAGGGCGATAAGGGGGCTGCAGGTCGCCCCCTTGCACGTCCCCTGGCGCGTCCCGTGGCACGTCCCCTGGAGCGCACCCTTGGCGCGTCCCCTTGGCGTGTCCCCTGGCACGTGCCTTAGCACCTCACGTCCCCTGGCACGTCCCTCAGCACGTCACGTCCCCTGGCACGTCCCTTAGCACGTCCGGCGTCACGTCTGCGGCGCGTCTCCCCGCCCGTCCTCTGGAGCGCCTCTCGCCATGCCGCCCGACGCGTCCCATGCATGACACGTCACCCCGGTGCATCCCGCGTCGCGTCCCATGTCGCAGACATTGGCATGTTCTTTGGCGCGTCCTTTGGCGCGTCCCTTGGCACGTCCGCTGGCACGTCCACGTGCACGTCCCTGGCACGTTCCCTGATCCGCCGGCAGGCGCGTCCCCTGGCTCGTCTCTTGCCGTGTCCTCCTGTGAGGTTCCGTGCCGCATCCCATGGCGCGTCGTTTGGCATGGGCGTGTCTTCCTTTGGCACTTTCTTTGGCATGCCCCCTGGCGCTTCCTTTGAGACGTCCCCTGGCGCGTCCACTGCCACGCCCCTTGCGCATCCCCGAGCACGCCCCCTGTGGTTAATCCTCTCGGGCGTCCCCTACACGTTCCGCGGCGCGTTCCCAAGCGCGTCCCGTGGCGCGTTCCATGGGACGTCACCCAATGTTTAAGTCGGGCATGTCCTTCTACAGGATGAATATTCAAGAATAGTGATAAGAGATAGTCTGGGTACGCTTTGTTTCGTTTTCTTTTGATTACGTCTGAGTATTATATGACCATTCGTTCATTTTTCTTCCCAAGCCCCCCTGTAGGAGGACATTCCCGACCTGACCCAACGTGCCCTGGCTCGTCCCCTGGCATGTCCCCTGGCACCTCCCTTGACACGCCGTGTGGTCCGTCTGCTGGCGCGTCCGCTTGCACGTCCTCCCAGTCGTCCCTCGGCGCATCCCTTTGGCGCGCCCCTGGCACGTTGCGTGGCGCATCCATTCGCCTCCTCTCGGTTCGTTGCGGAAGTGCATCGTATGTCGAGCTCGAGTTGGTTGAGCGCCCCGTACGTTTCGGTTGCAACCAGTTTTGGGCGAGCCATGTGCTCACGGAGCTCGAGCCGAAGTTCTAGATCAGGCCAGTCAGGATTCGGGCGCCAAGGACGGGTGAATCCACAACGCAGTCGAGTACAGCATGGCTCAACACTTCATGAAACAGTTCAGCACAGCGCATCACAGCACATCCTCTGGCACGTGATTACCACCATCGATACCTCCCTTTGTGTACTAAGAAGGTTTGGGGGATGGGATCCTTTTTGGTTTGCATTGAACGCACAACTCAACTCGCGAGTTGACACACCTCGGTGCATCAATATCGATAAGTAAAACAACGCACCTAGCTCTTCACGTATCTAACAGCCTTCGGCCCATCGCGCCACGGTGGGTGGGTTGTGGGTATGAAGCCTAGTGGATGTTCGTTGGGATCTCGTGGGAGGCATGTCGGGTGCCTCTTGGAGGCAGTTGTGAGGCCCCTTGGGGGCCGTTGTTTGGCCTCTTGGGGCCTGTTTTGGGCCTCCGTGTGGTCTCTTGAGATTGTTTCGTGGCACCACGGCGAGCTCCACCGATGCCTCAATAGTAGGGACCCCAAGCGGTCCTCCCGCACATGTCGGTGCACCCCTCACACGTTTGTAGCCCCACGGGGGTTTCCAACGCAGGCTTCAGAGGCAGGATGGTATCGCATGCGGTCACCCCCATGTCGGCACATCCCTCACACGTCTTGTGGTGCAACAGGCAGCTCCACCGAAAGCCTCAGTGGCAAGGTATCGCATGCGGCACGTCCGCCTACTTTGGAACTCCATTCACACGCTCCCTGGCCTCAAAGGGAGCTTCTCCGAGGGCCTCAATGGAAGGGTGGTCCTCCCGCCAATTCCGGCACACACGTTCTCTGGCCCCACAGCTAGTTCCACCGAAGGCTTTTGCGGCGGGGTATCGAATGCGGTCCCCCCGCACTTGTCGGCAGACCTTTCACACGCTTCGCGCCCCAACAGGTAGTTCCATCGAAGGCTTCCGTTGCAGGGTATCGAGTGCGATTCCCCCACCAATTCTAGCACAATCCGTACACGTTTCGTGGCCCCATCTTGAGTTGCGCGAAAGGCCTCAGTGGCAGGGTGTCGCCTGAACGAAGAATTACATAAACAGAGAAAGTCGGAGGTCCGCGCGGATTTCTCGGATCCGCGCTGGACCCCCCTGGCGGCGCCGCCCTTGGCGCGCTCCGCGCGCCAGGGAGGGGGATCCAGCGCCGATCCGAGAAATCCGCGCGGACCTCGAGTGTTATGTTTATGTCATTATTCGTTCCCCTAATTTCGGCACTCACACACACACACACCTCACACGTTTCGTGGCTCCACACGGAGCTCCACCGAGTGCTTCGGTGGCAAGGCATCGCGTGCGGCCCCGCGCACATCGAGGTCTGGGGATCGAGGTCCAGCCACTCTATCGTCGATGTCGCGGCAGCATTCGGTACGCCACTTTGCACATGTAATTTTGAGTCGGGCATGTCCCTCTACAGGAGGAATATTCAAGAATAGTCAGATAGTCAGGGGACGATGCTTGAATATGTTTGAGCATTGTTGGGGTATGTTTTGACTTTTTTATTGTCCGTCAAAAATCCGCCTGTAGGAGGACACGCCCGACCTAAATATAATTCCATGATGCTAGAGGGGTGATCGTCGGCGCTATGAGGAAGAGAGGCCACAAACGTGCATATCGACGCGCACGATAGGTGACGCTGGCCGTCACACATATGAGTCAGGCGCATTGCATTCCCCACGGTCGAAATATGCATCGGCGTTGGAGTTTGTTGGTTGTACCGCTAGATGTCTCCTGTCATGGGACGCCCAGTGTTGGCAAGAGGTCCGGAAATTCTCAGCCGAGTGCGAGATGCAGATCGCTTGGTATGTTTAAGATCATTGCGCGCACGAGGAACTTGTGGAACGATTGCGCGTCCCATTTCCGCATCGTAACTCAGCATGCTCGCATGATGGCTGATGCGTTTATGATTGCCACGCGTATATCTGATGCCGAGCGTGGGCCCGTCTGCTCAGGACGACCCACGGAATGGCGATGCTCAGGCAAGAGACGCAGGCCTGGCCTATGAGATAGTGGTGGCGTGGCGGAGTGTATCATGTGATAGCGTTTCGTTGCGATTCGATGTGCATTTAAAGTGCGATGTGTGATCTTCATGTGCCCTCCACCCCGTTGAGTCCGTGCCACCGCCCATGCTTGCGGGTCCTGTGTCGCCTCGGTCGTGGGTGCAGGATGCTCAAGCGAAACAGCAAACATCGCCTACAAGTCCTTTTCCACTGCATGCTGGGCGCATGCGCGTATCCGTTTCGACGGGATACCTGTAACGTGTTCGGGATCGCGGCGGGCATCGCCATGCGGGCAAGAGAACAACACGGGTTGGGTTAGTGTCGTTATGGCCTCATGGGTTTCCGAAGACGCAGGGCGAAGTATTGCCATCCCTTTGCCCCTGGAGACGCACCTGTGCCCGAACGTAGGGCCAATTCGTTGCCGGACTATGGCGCCCCCCAGCCGTCGTGGAAGCCCGCAGGGGCAAACTCGGGGGAAAAGTATAGGGGAAGAGGAAGCGGAGGCGGTGGCGGAGGCGGCGGCGAAGGCGGAGGAAGGAGGCGGAGGCAGAGGCGACGGAGAAGGAGGAGGAGGAGGAGGAGGAGGAGGAAGAGGAGGAGGAGGAGGAGGAGGAGGAGGAGAGGGAGGAGGAGATGGAGGAGATTGAAGATGAAGAGGAGGAGGGGAAGGATAATGAGGGCGAGGAGGAGGAGGAGGACGCCTGTTGGGGGCCTCCTGGGGCCCTCGTCGGGCCCCCTGGGGGCTTCATGCAGGCTTCTTGGGGCCTCCTGAGGTGCCTCTTAGGGGTTCTCGCGGGGATATCTGGGCGCCTCTTGGGGGGGGCATCTTGGGCCGTCTTAGGGCTTTCTTGACCTGTCTGACGCCGTTGGGAGGCCGTCGTGTGGGCCTCTCTGGGCTCGCCTTGAGGCAACATTGGACTGTTTTGGAGCCATCTTGAGGGCCATCTTGGAGGCCACCATGGCTATCTTGGAGACGACATTGGCGTTGAGGTATGGTCTGGTAGTTTCAAGGGTTTTCTGGGTGGCCATCAGGATGCGTAGAAGACCAGTTGGATTTTCTGAGAACAGCCAGAGAGTATTCACAGGTCGGACACGTCAAATTCTCGTGTGAAAACCGAACAAGGGCGGCGAATGTATTGGCCCTCGGCCCATCCCGCCGCTTTGCCTGGGTCGTGGGCAAGAGGGGTATTGGGGTCTCTTAGGGGACCTCCTGGGGTGCCTATTGAGAGGCCTATTGAGACCTCTGAATGGCTCTTGGAGGCCACTGTGGGGCTTCTGGGAGGCATGATGGGGGGGCTTGCTGACGGCCTCATGGGCCATCTTGGGGGGAAGAGCCTTGCATATCAGTTCAGGCACCTCCCTCTCGGGCCTCTCTTAGAGCTGTCTTTGGGCTATGACAGGGCAATGTTGACGGCCTCTTGGACTGCACTCGACGCTATGAGGATCGAGAAGCTTGGAATGCACACGTCGGTCAGAACCACAGTTGCTGCAGAGGCTTTCGCATCTGGGGCAGGCCCCTCGGGCCTCGCGGCCCCTCGGGGCCTCGCCAAGACTACCAACGAGGGGCCGACAGCAGCCTCAGCGATGCACCAGGGACCATCTCGGAGCATGTTAGCAGGTGGATTCCGCTGGGGAAGGAATGTGAACAGTCTTGGCAGCGCCCGAGAATTCCCTGCGATGAGGGGCCTGTTCGAAGAGGCCTGGGCGCACTCCACGGAGTGCCTCGCGGCACGGTGATCGGGTTGCGTGGTATCGTCTCTGATGTTCATCTTGGCAGTGGCATGCTGGCTGGCATGATACACTTATGTATCACATGTGTAAGTAGTCACGCTGCTTGTATCCCCACCAGCCCGTTCAGAAACCTTGCCCGTGAGCGGTGACGAGACAAAGAACGAAGAGACGCATATCGTGAAGCCAAGCTCGACGGATCCATGGAGAATGTGGGCGAGGGGAGGAGAAGGAGGAGGAGGAGGAGGAGGAGGAGGAGGAGGCGAACCGCCTCTTGGGACCCTCGTGGGGCGCTCTTGGGCGCTCTTGGGGCCTTGGGGCCGTCCTGGTGCCCTCTTGGGAGCCCTGGAGAGCCTCCTGAGGCCATCTTGGAGAGGCTATCGATCAAAGGAGGGGGTCCCCGAAGTGCCCCCGCCCCCCCAGCCCCGGAGCCATCAGGCTCGCCCTGGTGAGGCACTCCCGGGCCGCTGTTCGGTTCTTGGGGCCGTCCAGGGGCATCGTGGGCCCCTCTGGGCCTCCTTCGGGCCATCGTGTGGCCATCTTGAGGCCTCAAAAAGCGCATCGGAAGCGGAAAGTAGAGATCGGGGGTGGACAGACCTCCTACTTTGACACGTCGATTGAGGAATTGGCCGCTTTCGGTTCGCGAGAGGGCGTCGCGGCCGTCGTTTTTGCGGGTCCAGGTCCGTCGGTTTCGGTCCCAGGCCGTTTTCACTAAGGGGAGGTTTACGAAAGGGAACTTTGTCCACCGCCGAAGAGACGGCACAAAGTATTGTGTTTCCTCAGGTGTTTGAAGGATGTTGGTTAATGGGGGGGTCTTCAGGGGGCGTCGAGAGCACTTGGAGCCGTCCTGTGGCCCCTCGTCTCGCCTTTTGGAGGTATGTCGGAAGCTACCGTGAAACATCTTCGCCCATCTTGAGCCGCTTTGGAGGCCATCTTGGAGCATCGGAGCCCCCCTCTCGGAGCGATCTTGTGCGAAGAAGGACCCCCTAACGCACCGCGAACCCCCCCAAAAAACCTCAGGGAGGGGAGGGGGAGGGGCTGGTGGGATTCGTCGGCATTGTCGTTACTTATGTTTCGTTTTCGCTAGCGCCTTGCCGTCCACGCATCCACCGCCCATCCATTCATCGTTCTACCATGCACCATGCATCTACAATTACGTTCATACCTCTACCACTATGATGCGCCATCCATTCATGCACATGGTAGTTTGATCATCCATCAATTGTTTGGTGACTACTCTCAGGCACATAGCACTCCGACCCAGTCCCGGTAGTGTAATACCCACCCGCGAAATTAGTTCGGTATCATGTGTTCGCAACGTGCGATTCGCAATGCAACCGAGACATCTCGCAGGTTTGTCCTTCGAAAGTGTGTTGCCCATGTGTTTCCCCCCCCATCGTCCATGCCCGAACTTACTCGTATCGCACGCGCATGCTTGGTCTGGTCCGATCTTTTGTTATGCGATGATGCCACGCTTGCGCTGCGCAGCGCAGGCAACGTGGACCGCCGCGTCCACTGCAGCACCACTGCTGGCGGCGAGCACAGGGGCGGCCTCATCGACAAGCGGCGCTCGGGGCACGCCAACATGCGCGCCGACACCCACCCTGGCCGGGCCACCCCCTTGAGGAATCGCGAGCACGGATGCGGGCGCGAGTGGCTCCGCGACGAGCCCCGCTTCCGTGCGCGATCGGCTGGCGCCGTCGCCACGTGAGGCGGCATGGGCCCTCATCGGAGCATTCTCCCAGAGTCCGTGGAGCTGGCGCCCGCGCGCCATGTCCACAGATCCGCAATGCACGGTAAGCGTGTGCTCGAAATCGCGGGCCCTGAGTGCCGGTGTGTTGTGGGCGTCACCCCCACATTTTAATTGTGTGTGTGTGCATCGTCCCCACAAATGCCCCTGGCGTGGCGGGCGCCTTCTCGCCATACCGCTCGGGAAACGAGATGCTGATAGATGATCGTACTACGCGTTCGGGTCGGACGCACGCCTCCAAGAAGGATGCACAGAACAAGTATGCCCTTTTGTGCCCCCTCTTTGCTCACTGGCGCCCTCCCAGGCGCGACAGCGGGGGCTCCCGCGGCGCCCGCGGGGACAGCCTCGACCGGCGCAGCAGCGGGTTCAGCGTCCGCAGCAGCGTCCACAGCGCCTTGCACAGCGTCAGCGCCACGGAGCACCAGACGAGCGGGGGCAGGCCAGGATTGAAAGACGAGAGGAGGGCAGTGAGTAGCTGAAGGAGGAGGATGATGTTCAGCGGGGGCAGGCCATGACATCGAAGACGAAACAGCAGCGCAAACATGAATGTATGATGCTGCGCGCGGATTTCTCGAAGCGGCGCTGGAGACCCCCTGGCAGCGCCTCCAGCGCCGCCCCTGACGCGCTCCGTGCGCCATGGAGGGAGCTCCAGCGCCGATCCAGTAAAAGTCCATTCGGAGCGTCGAAAGTTGTTTGTTTACGCCGTTTGTTCTTCTATCAAGACCAGCGGAGGCATGCAGGCCTTCCTAGCTGTTGCCTCGTTGCTTTCTCATCGCGCCGGGGGCGCCGAAAGTCGGGCGGCGAGAACAATTTACTCAGATAAGGGCCAGTTGAGACAACAGTAGTTGGCCTTCCGGGGAGTCCTTCGTTGTGACGGCTGGACGCAGCTCGGAAAATTGGTGCGTTTGGACTCTGGGAGGTGCAGGGACCGATTTCGAGTTGCCGTTGTCTCAAGTCGCCTTGCCCTGCTAGACATCAAGTCCATTTCCCCCAGTCAGGCCCATCCTGGGCCCAGGAGCTGTGAAGATGCCTCCCTGACCCAGCCAGGGGGGCGTATACGCCGTTCCTGAACGCGGGATGGGCCTGGCTGGAGGCGGTGGATATGCGCAGATGCCGTCGCCATACGAGAGGGTGGATTGGTTCAGGGGAACCTGGATCCTCCAATCGCCCCACCATCACGGATTGGTGCCCGGGTGCCCGGCCTTTGCATTGCCTGGCTGCCCAGACTTGGCTGACTGTGAAGGACTTGACGGCTGGTGCCGCCGACCCAGAAGGACGACGACGACGACGACGACGACGACGACGACGACGACGACGACGACGACG